CAACAAGTTGGGTTGAAATGGTTGTGTAGGCATCAACTTCATGAATACCCATGGACTTCTTCGGCACTATTCTATTATCTGGTCTTTGGTAGTTGTTACTTGCTAAAACTTTAAGTAACTCTTGAGCTTCTACTGGTGTCTTGTTTTGTAAAGCTCCTCCAACTGTTGCGTCTACCATTGTTCAAACATTTGGTAGTAAACTCGAATAGAATGTATGGACTTGCATCCAAATAGGCAGATAGTGGTGTGGACACTTCCTCAACATTTCCTTGAATCTCTCCTATGCTTCATATAATGATTCATGGTTGCCTTGTACAAATGAGGTAATGTCATTTCTCATTTTCGTTGGGAACTTTCGTGCTAGATCATTTCATGTTGTGATGGTTCCAGCGGGCAATGACATTAACAATCCTTTTGCCTTATCTCTCAATGAGAATGGAAACAGGCATAATCTAATAGCATCATCTGTCACCTCATTGTGCTTGAATGTGCCACAGATTTCTAGAAAGTTGGCTACGTGCATATTTAGATCTTCATTTGGATCACCCCCAAACTATACTAATTGCCGAATCATCTGGATTATAGCCAACTTTATCTCGAAATTTTTCACCTCAACAGGTTGTCTCGTAATGCTCAGACTACACCCATCAACTTGTGGAAGTGAAAATTCCCTCAAAGTTCTGTTTTCAGCCATTTCAATGACTCTCACCTCTCATTCTCTTCTCTCTCTGATGAGTCTTCTCGCGGTTCTTTCAATCTCTGGATCAATGAAAACCATTGGATAATTTCTTGCTTTTCGCATAAACTAAACAGGAAAGAAAAAGAGCATGAGATCACAAGCAAACAAAAAGAAAAATTAAACTAAAAACAATTTAAACTAAAATTTAAACTCCAATTTAGTGAAAACTAGAAAACTTCAATATTAACACAAAATCAATCCCTAGCAATGGCACCAAAAACTTGATGCATGCTTTCAAAAGCATGCATATGTAGCAAGTGCACTAATAATAAAAAGTAAAAAGTGATAAGTTGAGTATCATTCCCACGAGGATTGACTGCTAAGTACCGACTTTCCTAGTTTTATAACTAATTGAAGAACACAAAAATTTTTGGATTTGTTGGAGAAAGTAAAGCTAGATATTAAAGCACAAAATTAGACAACTGAAATTAAAACTAAACTAATCAACGCAAATTCAATTCAAGGTAAGAAAGGTTAGGGTTTCGACTTCACTAAGATACTCTAATTTAATCTACAATTTTTGTTGCTTTCAAGTTCACATGCAAGGATTATAAATCGGACTCCTTAAGTTGTAGAATATACCTTCGAATGCTATATTCTCCAGGTTATCCCTATTAAGCTTCCGCACCCAACAAAAAAAAGATTAAAAGTTCAAAGCCCATTAAGCAAAGTGGAATCCTATAAAGATTTCATTGATTGCTAAACCTATCTCTAGCGTTCGCTTAATCTATGGTGTTTATTCTGAGAAGCTAACACATGAATCATTTCTCAATCTCATCATGCTCAACATTCAATTGAATGAAAAACCTAACATCCAATGGCATTAAGTACAAGAATAAACACATAATCCTAGCAATAGAACTAAAAAATAACACAACTTTAAAACTAAACCATTGTAATCCAAGTTACAGAACCCTAACCCAAAAGTGAGTTAGTTCATGTTCAAAATAAAGAAAAACATCACATAAATTGTAAATGTAGAGTTCAACATGTTAGAAATTGAAAGAGAAACAAAATCTTCCCTAATTGGAGACCCAAATTCTTCAAATCTCTTTCTCCTCTTCCCTTTTGCCTAAAATGTCGAAACCCCCCCGCCCCCTAAAATGACTCTTAAATAGTTAGCCAAAACCTAGGAAATAATACAATAATAGAAAAATGCAGCATTTTACAAGAATGAAAAATTGCAATTTTCACCGTGGCATCGTGATGAAATGCCAAAACATAAATTTGACCCAAGAGCTTCATGCCGCAGCGAAAATGCTTTTTGCTAGGGTGAAACTTTGTCTTCATTTGGTTGAAATTATAGAGCTTCCCTTGCATGCTCTGACGCTTGAATCTTCGATTTTCTCTTTCCTTCTCATTACACTGAGCTTCAAGGGTGCTTCCAATCAACCTTCGAACATCTCTGAACTCTTCCAACTCTTGAGTTTGAATCAATTGACCTCGGTTTTGCTTCGTTTGGATCCGAAAATGCGTTTTAGACCTGAAACATAAACGAATTAAGCAACAATTCAAGACTAAATTCAAAGGGAAATATCTGACAATCCTACCCAATAAACAAGAAAAATAGTATAATCCACAGATTATCAGGCAGCACATAGGAGCAAGACACCACCCCTACATAGCAACATCCTCTTTTGATCAAAATAAAGTTTTATTTTATTTTGATCCACCAAAAACAAATGCAAAAATCCAGAATCACAACACATCAACCACAACAGATTCTTACAACAAAAAATTCAGTTTTACACAACATGTAATAACATAATCAATACATATCGAATTCATCACATCCAAACATTATAAAATAATGTAAACAACATAAAGTTGGCTTTGATACTACTGTAGGTTGATAGTGGGGATTACGCAGCAGAATAATAAAACAAAACAAAAACAAAAAAAACAAAAAAAAAAAAAAAAACCCAAACACAACTAATAGACCCAAGAACTTTATGGCTATTTTACGTTAAAATATAAAACGATTATGAAATGTAATGTTTCAGACTTATACCTTCATTTAGAGGCTCCTTCTTTGTGATACGGTCACTACCACTCTAAGCCAAGAGTTAACTTTCGGTATCCACATGAAGATAGGACGTTGATCGCCTTACAGTTCCAACTGCTAGTGGTACGCGCAAGGATCAAAGATGGCAGAATTTTTCTTGAAAAATTCTCTTCTCCACTTAGAGAGAAAATGTGAGAGAGAATGAGGTGAGTGGCTAGGATTTTTCAATTAATGTGTTCTCTTATTTTATTTTAATTTTAAGTTGCATTTTATATGCAACAAAAATTAAAACCCTAATCTAGTTAGGAATAAATTTATTACATGACTAGAATAGTAAATCCCCATTACCTAACAAGGTAATAATCCACATGGCGTCTTATTCAAATTCAAATATGAATTTCATATTTATATATTATCTTTATTAATATCCCTAGTTAGTAAAAACACATATTATACACGAATTGTATAGACAGCCATATAATTCGCGTATAAAATGCACGTATATGTATTTTGTAAAATCTGCCATATAATTCGCGTATAATAAGGCTTCCCGTATAATCCGCGAATAATTCGCAAACTATTCGCAAACTATTGAAAAAAAAAAAAAATCTTACCCCAAAAACGACGTCGTTTTAGTGGGTTTTTACTAAAAATTAAAACAGATCTCTCTTCTTCGGTTCTTCTTCAATTCTTCAGTTCTTCTTCAGCTTTTCTTCCCCAGTTCTTCACGTTTTCAGCTTTTCTTTATCTCTTGTTCTCTTCTTCCAAGCTTCAACTTCAAGTTCGGGACTTCAAGGTACACACTTAACACTTGTTCTCTTCTCTTTGAATCTCATTGGTGGATTGCTTGTGTTTGTGTTGGTGTGACTTGTGAGTAGTAGTAGTAGGAGGGGCTGGTGGATTGATGGATTTGTTTGAAACATGTTTGATGAAATGCTTGTGAGAGTTATATTTGTATTTGTTAATTGTTACGGTGGTCTTTGCAATATATATGTATGAATTACTTATTATCTAATCAAATAGAGGTTTGTTGTTTATAAACTGGGCTAAGTTGAGCATATATAATTAAGTATTTAAACATAAATCATAAAATGGCTTTTGATGATCATGGAGATTGGTGGACTCTGGGCTTGATTGGTCGTCTAGTTGCACGAATGGCTTGAGGGGATGCTTTTAAGTTTGAAGTAACTCATGATGAGTATTACATTTTTAGGAGTTTGGTGTCATAAGGGACCCGATGGCCTGATTCTTTTGTTGTTCCAAATCTCAAGTTCCTTTTTGCTTTAAGTACAGTTTCAGACATATATGGATTATCATTTTGCTTTTGATGCCATAACTGGATTCAAGTGCATAGGGTGCTCTGTTTTGGATCTCGTCCTTAGTAAAGAAACAACAGAAAAGTGCAAAAAGTTTGAGCTCTCTTTAACTTTCCAATTTAATACTTTTCTTGTTCAAAGAATTAGTCTTTTTTTTATCTTTTAAATCTTACACGGATGGAAAGCTTAGATGTACAATTAGCATGATGAAATGCATTAATTTCCGTAACTTTTTGGCTTTTCAATTGGATATGGTTTTAGAGTAAAAGGAAAAAGTTACAATTGTGAGATGCACTGCATGGTACAAGTTATGAAATTTAGAGAAAAATATTTCATTCACATGCACTGCATGGTACAAGTTATAAAATTTAGAGAAAAATATTTCATTCACTTTATTAAAGTGCCTGGTTTAAAATATTTCATTCACTTTATTAAAGTGCCTGGTTTAAGTTTAATACACACACTGAGTTTCACATTGTTTATTGATTTCATTTTTGCAGCCTTGTTTTGAGAGAATAGAAGAATCAAAATTTTGCTGTCAATCTGAAAATTTTGATACAGACACTGTCGAGAAGATTTAAAGTTTATTTTATCACTAATTTTCGTCTAGAACCTTATAGATTAAAGACTGATCTCCCTCTGCACCTGACAAATAATTGTACGTTTCCTCTTTGACTCAAGGCCTCAAATCTATGGATTGCATGGCAGATTAATTGATAATAATCTTAACTAAATTCATGTATACGTGTGACAAATCGTACTTTTGTGGAAAATGTAATATTCTTTTATTGCGAATTATTCTGAATAATGAGCTGATTATTCTAAATACAATGCATAGGAAATAAAAAGATTATATGCTATCATATGTAGGAAAACTTTTTTCCTTTTGTATTTGATGATGTTCTCTTTTATGTTCTTGTAAATACAGACTCAAATCAATATGGTACGAAAAAAAGATAAAATTTGGGGGCATGTTGAGGAGCTCCAAAGGAATAAATGGAAATGTAAATTTTGTCAAAAAATATTTAGTGGTGGGGCTTACAGAATTAAAGCACACTTGTTGGGAATTACTGGCCATGATGTTGAGATTTGTAGTAAAGTCAATCATGAGACACAAGCATATGCATTCTTTGCTATGTCTGAAAGTGGAAGTAACAAAAAATTAAAAAGTTCAGCCGGTTCTACTACTGCTTTAAACTCTAATGATCATGAGGAGGAAACAGATTCACCATTTTCACCACTTTCTAAGGGTAGCCTAAGACGTCAAAGTCAAGCATCTTTACTAGAAATGAACAAGAAAAAAGACAAGGAATTTGTTGATAAAATGCTTGCTAAGTGTTTTGTGGTGAACAATATCGCTTTTAATGCTGTTCAAACTGGTGCTTTTGGAGAATTTGTTAAGACAGTGGTTGAATATGGTGCAGCATACCAGCTTCCATCTTATTCAACTCTTCGAACTAAGTTAATTCCAGAATCTAGAAAAGGTGTTGATGAGTATGCTGCTATGCTGAAGCGTTCTTGGGATACATCTGGATCTGGTTGCACTATAATGTCTGATATATGGACTGATATAAGGCACCGATCTTTCATTAATCTTGTGGTATATTCACCTGGCGGTGTAGTGTTTATAAAATCATTGGATGTTTCTTGAGAAAGAAAAACTGGGATTTATCTGAAAGAAATTGTTGTTTCTGCGATTGAATCAATTGGACAAGAACATGCTGTACAATTCATAAATAATAATGGTAGCAATTTAACATCTGCTAGTGACATGCTCATTGGATTGTATCCTCAAATGTATAAGACGAGGTGTGATGCTCATGGAATTCAGCTTCTTTTGAAAGACATATATGAAGAAGTTAATTGGGTAAAAGTTGCCACAGATGAAGCAAGAATAATAGTTATGTTCATGACACGGTACATAGTTCTTCATGCAGCAATGAAAGAGTTCACCAAAGATAGACAATTGAGACAACCTTATGCCACAAGATTTGCTTCAAATTTTTTAATGCTTCAATCTGTGTCGGATTTGGAGAATGAACTTCAACTCTTTGTTGCTTCATCTGAATGGAAGGGTTTTGATTATTGTAAGACCGAATCAAGTAAAAGGGTTACTAAAATTGTTCAGAGTGATTTTTGGGCTAGAGGAAGGGAGGTTATAAAAACTATTGAGCCATTGGTTCGAGTTCGAGTTTGGTTAATGGTGATGGATCTACTGCTAGTTACTTATATGAAGCAATGATGAGGGCAAAAGTTGCAATCAAAGAAAGATGTAATAGTGAGGCAAGCAAGTATGGGAGAATTTGGGAATTGTTTGAGAATCGTCGGGTCAACAACATCATTCATCCTATACATGCTGCAGCTGCCTTTCTCAATCCAGCTTACTTTTGTCTCACAAACTTTCGAGGGATAGGTAGATGAAAGATGGCATCAATTTCATTCATGAAAACCTGCTTCTAATAGAAGAAAGCATCCATTTATAAGAGAGGTTCAGTGGCGTGCTGTCGTAGGCAACCAAGAGGTAAAACCCCTCCCTAGCCGGTATTCCTAAGTATCCCTTGGCCATTGAGAACCTAGAAAACACACGCCTAGGAAGAAGTTTATTTTAAAATCCTATTTAAGAATAACCTATAGTTTAAAATATATTTTTATAATTTAATTTCTAAACTTAATAAGTTCATTGTACAAGTCAAAAAATATGTTTCCTTTCTTAGAGTAATTGTGAAATCCATAGTAATACTTACTAGAACATACACACTTTTACAAAATTACTAGCAATTTGTTTCCTTATAACACAACATATTTACTCCATTATAGAACATGGCCATATTTACTGCATTATGAAATATGAACATAATTACTACACACAAATACTAGCAAAACCATTCAATAGTCATCATTAAACATCCTTCATGCTCATAGCGTCCCTCGGAGTCCTCTCCCAGCTTCATGTCTTAATCCTTACCTACAAACATTTTAAAACATTTCGTGGGGTGAGCGCTAATCGCTGAGTAAGGGAATATGGGCCATTTATAACTATTAAGGTTCATTATCAAGTATATTACTTAGGCCCTTACCTACCTACAAAACAGCCTTCATTCTTTGACATAACAAGTTCATAAAACATATCATAACCTTTGGACTTTTCTCATAAACATAAGTCATAACATAACCATACATACTATAACATAGAACATATATGACTTATGAAATATTCATGTACATGGCATGCTTATTTCTTTGTCTTTATACTTGATGGTTTCATTAGTCTTTGTTATCCGATCGGATTCATTTGAACCATTACCTTGTTCTTGGTCGTCACCTCAAAGGACTCATGGTTTCCATAAGAATTCAATTCCTCTGATCTGGTTTATACCTCAAGAGACTCATGGAATTCATTCTTTAAAATTTCATAAATTTTTCTAAAGACAACTAATATCTATATGCTTACCTTATGAATGCAAACATATGGAATAACATCTCCTATGCTCATCATACTATTCATTCATTAACATGTACCCTTGGCCAATGCACAACTCATCAATCAATTTATAGCAAAACTCTATGACTGAATATTCTCCTACCAAATTCCTTAACTTATTCATTCAATTTCTCATACAATACAAGGAATTTCAATAGTAAGATTATTCAGGATTTATTAGAATTAAAAACAAATAGGAATTTCATTAAGAAGGTGGTGCCATATAGTTTGTCACTTTTCAAGCAATTTTTCCCTTCTACATTCGAATTGATTTTTGGATAAAACATAAACGTTTTAGGTATATTCTCCAATTTTTAACACTTTGAGAGTAAACTCAATCGGACTTCTGTAACATCAGTTAGGACCGATTCAGTGAAGCATGTACAGTATAGTCCTAAAAAGCCAAATCCGAATTCTATTCATTTTAACCATGTCACCTTCATTTGCACAGTCATATCATTTGCCATATCATTCTAAGTATAAAGCCATAAAAACCTCCCTTTTTACAGATCCAAAAAGTGTCAAAACATCGTCTAACTACAAATCTCTTAATTGGCATAATCATCCTCCATATACACACATACACCAATCAACACACCCATTTAAACAATCCATACCCAAAACATAGCCTCACACTCATATAACATAAATAAATGTAAGTTTCATAAACCCTAGGTGTTTCAATTGTAGTCCTGGGGAAATTTTTTCCTTACCTAAGTATTCAAGCACAAAGACACTCCTCCTTAGCTCCAAAGGTTCACCCTTTCTACCTTACACACATAACCACTTATGAATTTCTCTTTTAACTTAAGATCAGAAAAATGGGTTTGTGAAACACACCTTAAACCTGAAATTGAAGTCTTTAAGTGTGGATAGTGATCTCCTTTGAAATCAACTGAAATCCTAAGAAAATTTGAGAATAATGCTTGGATTAATGGCTTTTATGGAGATTTGAGAGATGAAGAAGAAAGAGCATTTGGGGTGTACAGGGCCGACTACTCTCTCTTAAAACCTTGTAAATATTATTCCATTGTTACTCTATGTTGATGGTCAATAAGTTAGATATAAGGGTCATTTGGCATAAATTTTTATATAAGGGCATTTTGGTCATTTCTACCACAACTAATAATTAGCACTCATTTAATCCATTTGACTTCTTTAAAACACTTAACAATTAAGCAATCCCATTAGGTAAATGACTAATTTACCCTTGGTGCACTTTATGGATACTTATTTCATATGGATTTGTATGAAAAGCCGTTTACCCTTGGTTACCGTTTACGCCATTTAACCATATCAATCAACTTTATGACCGTTCTACCCCATTTCTCTTCAATGACATCCCCCTTACACTTTAAATGGCCACATCTCGAAATACATGTAAATGGACCATTTACCGTTCCTTCAAAAAACAAAATTACTTGAAGGTAATTCATACCTTAGGGCATCGGAATAATAACGCGGGGTTTACCAAGATTAAAACCTAAAAATCACATAGTAGTGTGAGTAGGGATCGTTCCCACAAGAGTGTCTAGCCGAGTTTTAGTTACGTGAACAAGCTGGGGGGTTTTGAGTAAAAAAAAATATTTCAGGAAAAACAATTCAATTAAACTATCGAAAAATCAAATAACGAAACTTGGTCTAGGTCAACATCCACCATCGGAATCTTACAACGATCATCGTACAAAAATAACAATTCATACCCTGAATATTCACCCTTGAACTATTTTCCTTTCTCTCCTTAGTTGTAATTATTAAGAAACAAGTGATCTAATTAACCTTACTACTAAACAACCCTAGACAAGCGCTAAAGATTTAATCTAGTATGTCCTTAAGACCTAGAAGATCGATGAAGCTACAACACACAAACTCAAGCGGTTGCATTTAATTCAGTCAAATGTTCTTCTTAAGACTTAATAATTCCTGACGCAACAATTCTTAACCCTAATTGCTTCACAAGTTAAAGGGATCAAACAATTATGGATTTGATATCTAACTTAGTAATAGATTGCAACAAATAATAACTAGTAGCCTCCTAGTAATTATGCAACATCATGAAAATATGCATAGAAGAACATCCAATACTCAAACATAAATTGAACACTTAAAAAAATTAGATTAGATCTCACAGTTTTATTGATTTCGAGGTCTTATTTCCTTCGCCCAAGTTATAAAAATTAGCCACTCATGGCCATCACGAAAATTCAAAGGAAAAGTTCAAGAAATGAGGGAGAGGTTGTGTGTCTCTGTGTAATCCCTAATCTGATCTCTCTCTCTCTCTAAATATCCAATTCAAATTTTAATTCTACTAAATCTAGATCTCCTAAAATATTCTAAAATCCCAAAATAACCTTTATCCTAATCTGAGTAATTGAAAATAAAATAAGTCTTAATACAAATAGGAAAGTGGTGATTCCAGCTGTAACTTGTGTGCAACAGATATTCAAATCTTCCAATAATAAATTGCCTCTTTAACTTGCTGACAAGCGGAATGTTCCAGAACGTCGGCATGCAGGTGCGTCAACTTCAAGCCCGATTATAACCTTGATTCATGATTACTCTCCAAACTCAAAACTGAAATTTGTAGGTCTCTTTCTTAGGGTTCCACATAATTTTGAATCATCTCAATCGAGCTTGGATGAGAGATTATTCCTAGATTACGAAGCGTGTCAAAACTGTCTGAATTTACCTAATTAGTTCCGTTTTGCATTTAACGCCTACATTTGCATCCTAAATCAAAATAGAATAATAATGAGTCATTAGCAGCACATAAGTATAAAATACTAGACATAAGGGGGGGGGGGTAAATATGACTTTGCTTCTCATCATTCAGTTGTATCGCGTAGGCAACTACCTTATTTACTGCAACGACAAAAACGATGTTACAAACAAGTCATCCTCGTAAGTGTTTTAAAAAATTTCAATATCTTTTTTGTACATTGCTTCTCTCTTTATATTCATGAAACTTTTTATGTCATTTGCAGGAATATGGTGGGATTACAGTGGTGATCTTCCTATGCTCAAGAGTTGCCATTCGAATTCTGAGTCAACCTTGTAGCGCTTCATCATTGTGAGAGAAATTGGAGTGCCTTTGGCTGCTCAAACAAAAAAAAGGAATGGGTTGTCACATGAATCTAGACACACTTGTGTATGTAAGATGAACACAATGATGATGGTAAATTCACTTCCATGATGAGTCGTGACTTGGAACCTATAGATCTTGAGAAATTGGGGGGCTTCCAACTATAAATATGAAGAAATTCATATGGACGAAGTGCTAATTTTACACCAACAGTTGAGGGTTACATGGATGACTTATGGATAATGATGACATTGCTTGGTTGGACGATGCTCTTTTTTGACTTGTTATTGACTTATTGTTGTTTATGTTACTTGTGAGTTTTTGTTATAACTATAATTTGAATCTTGGTTGTATTATTGTTATTTTATTTGTTGGAGCTCTTATTCGACTTTGAATTTTGGTTTGTTATGACTTATTTTTTTGATTTGACACTATAGTTGAATCTTGGCTAAATATTTGTGTTTGAGTCTGGAGACTATAATTTGAATATCAATTATATTTATATATTGTGTATTTGTATTATTGGTTATTGAATACTTTGCATTTGAAATGTTTATTGATTTTAACCAGTTAGTCCATAAAGTGTTAAAACTAAGATTGATATGCCATATTTTCAAAACGTATTATTGACAATGCACCGTATTAAACCTGTATATACCGCCCGTATTTTTCCTATACC